GTGGCTCCACATGAATTTTGACCTGCTTAAGCGTGTCTGCGTACTGGGGCATATGACCCTGCGTGTGTGTGGAGTGTGTCTGCCTTGAGTATATGGGAGGGTGTTGGATCAGTCTTCTAGATGTGTGTGTGCGTGTCATCTATGCAAACCGGCCAGACAACTTGGTGATTCAACCCTGCGCTGCCAAAGGTGTGTGTGTCAGACACTGAGCTACTTAGCCAGGCGGGTGAACACAAAGCACAATAATAAGATCACAGAGGACAGCCTCCATACTTTGCTCCCATGATGCCTCAGCTGATCCCACAGCTGATCTGGCAGTGACGGCCTCCATGTTCCACTCAAGTCAGCACATCGGCCGCTTTCAACCTCATCCAGGTTACTAAAATATAATATTTTTTCTGCTCTCAGTGCCACCTGCTTAAACCTTAAAATAATCTCTTGATGTGGACGTAGCCTTTCACCGTAGTCTCAGACTGATTCAGGGAGAGTGTAATAATGCTGGGGCCCTAGCAGGTGATTTCATCCAAAGACCCATTTAAAAGCTTTGTTCACTACCATTCAAGCGCTACATGTGCCTGTGTAAAGGAGAGCATTCAAAAAAACAGTGAGTACATATCTTTCTGTTCCCATCAGAAGTTAGTGATCCCCCAGGAAGCCATTTCCATCAGCTCTCTGGATACCTGCACGACTCAAAATGGCTCTTCATTTCACCACAGGCTCTATTGGCTGACTGGCTGACATGACCTCAAGATAAGTGCAGAAAGATAGAGACCTAACAGGTTATTTGTGGATTGCTCTATGCCCTTTAATAACGCCATGCTTCATGTCTTGGCATGTCCGCATTGTTTTTCTGATATGAGTCCATATAAACAAAGGAGAGTTTTAGGAATTAAGCAATGACTTTGGCGCTGAGGATCGTTAGGCTCCACAGTACTTTTTTTTCCTTCCATGTTCCTCATCAGAAAGATGATCCCTTTACAGCGCACTGAGGAACAACATAATGATGAAATGTGGTCATTTTATACCCTGGGACAACATGCTCCCTGCTAGAACTCTAGTAAAGTCTCAAAAACATATTTTTAAAAAGCTTGAACAAATGTTGACCAGTATGTCTGCTGAGTGTGTATTACCTTTTCACTCTGTTATTATTATTTTAGTAAGTGGCATTTCCTTTAAAACATGCCTGAAAGTTTCAGTTTTGAAGTAATGAGATAGTGATGAAACAACTTCACCACGATTCAGGAAGAACAAAATAAATAAAGCACTTAAATATTCTGCTCAAAGCTGACATGATCATTTTAAGTAACAGAAAGCATACTTCATATGGCAGTTTGTGAAGAGGAAACAGCTCTGACATCCAGGGGAGTTTCAGAAGTTTGTCTATTTCATCATGCACCTTCAAGATGAAGTAGATTAAGAATCATTATGAAACCATATACAGACGTGGACAAAATTGTTGGTATCTTCCTGTAAAAGAAAGAACAACCCACAATGGTCCCTGACAAAAAAATAACTTGAAACTGACAAAAGTAATAATAAATAGAATTTTAATGAACATTTACTGCTGAAAATGAGATATTGGTTTTGAATTGTGGTTCAACAGAATCACAATCAAACAAATTAATGAAACTGGCCTGGACATAAATGATGGTACCCTGAGCTTAATATTTTGTTGCACAACCTTTTGGGGCAGTCACGGCAATCAATTCATTTCTGTAACTCTCAATGAGACTTCTGCTCTTGTCAACAGGTATTTTGGCCCACTCCTCATAAACAAACTGCTCCAGCTGTATCACGTTCAAAGGGTGCCTTCTCCAGACTGCATGTTTCAGCTCCTTCCACAGATGTTCAATAGGATTTAGATCAGGATTTAGATCATTAAGTCCACTTTGGACCGGATGGTGCGATCAGACACTGATGTACCTTGACCTTAGAGTTCACCTCTAATGTCTGTGGAAGTTGTTCTGGGCTCTTTGGTTACCATTCGTATTATCTGTCTCTTCGATTTGTCATCAATTTTCCTCTTGAGGCCACAACCAAGGAGGTTAGCTACAGTCCCGTGGACCTTAAACCTCTGAATAATATGTGCAACTGTAGTCACAGGAACATCAAGCTGCTTGGAGATGGTCTTATAGTCTTTACCTTTAACATGCTTGTCTATGATTTTCTTCCTAATCTCCTGAGACTGCTCTCTCCTTAGCTTTCTGTACCAGCAATTTTGTCCATGTCTGTATGTGCAACAGCATCATCTAGGAGACAATATTGCAATGCAAACAGCAAAAAATCTATTTATTAAACCTGCAATGAGGAGCTTTTGTCTCTCCTTCTTGCAGTGAGAGTAATTACACAAACACTGTCGACGCCTGCTCATGACATATGCCTATGTTACAAAAATACAGACAAATGTCCACAGTTCCCAGACAATAATCAATTATTTAGGTAGAGTAAATGTAATAGCTGCATCGCCTACTCCCAATATTTTACAAATACAACCTGTCCAAGAGCAGTAGAGCGACATCCATGTCTGCCCTCAGTCCCTTCTCTTCGCATAGCGCTCTCCAACGAGGAAAAGCTAAATCAATGGTTATCCGTGTTTGTTCATGCCGTCAATCACCTTATTTTTTTGACTGTAATCCTTCCTCTTGAAGCAGAGTTTCTTTTTTTACCTGGAACATCAGAAATCTGGCCGTGACAGCGCAGTTTCCATTTAAATAAACAGTTTGCTACGTGATTTAAAATCTCTGGTATACTGCAAAATACTGCGAGTCCCACACTCCAGTTCTAAGCCTTGCTTAATTTTCATCATGGCTTTACTGTCAGCTGAACGCATTAAACAGTTGGATTGCCGCTTGCAGCATCTTGATCTCTCATAAGAAAAAAAACTGCTCTGCAGTGGAGCGGAACATGAGAGTAGAGCAGAGCAGACGGAAAGTTTCAGGATGTCCTGTGTAGCTGCATCAAGCTCAATAAACCTCAATAAGAACTCCTGATTGAAACCATAGCTAGTTGGATGCTGCAGTTGCTGCTAGTATGTATACATCTGAATGTCTGTGAGTAACCCCAAACATGAACTCTTTGTCTTCCTTATTGACCCTTTTATGGTTTCCCCTGACCCCTACCTTCCCTGCGAACCTGCCAACTCGTGAATCAGCAGATGAGGTGAGTGTCACCTTTAGAGCAGACAACACCACCAACAGTGTTCTGGCTTTCTGAAATCCATGGCTCGTTACAGACAGAATGAGATCCATTCAGTCGGGGTGCCAGAGGATCTTAAAGACCCCTCTGTGTCAGCGCTCCAAGATCCAGACCGCTGGGTCAGAATTTCCATAAAGAGCCATCGTGCTTAGTTTATATCAAGATGTAACTGATTGTTATGTTCTAAGTAGTTTCTTGGTTGTTTCTCCGGGGCAAACCATGTGCTAATATAAAACTTTGCATGTGGATGGACACAATAGGCCAACTGTTCTCCTCTCCTGCATTTCCTTTTCTTGTTCTCTTGCCCTGTGTAAACACAAGAGCTTGTTATTGTGAATTGCACTGAAGAGCTGTGCTTGTTGGCTGGCTCTGTCAGCTGTGGAGTGGTGAAAGAAATATTAACATAATATACTTAGGTGAAAGTATCAATACCACAGTGTGAATACACTCCTTTAAGTAAAAGTCCTACGTCCAATCTTTACTAAGTAAATGTAAAGAAATATTATGAGTAAATAAATGCAAGTAAATAAATGTAAATGAATTAGAAGGATTCTCTTTAGCAACCGCTGTCAGTGTTTTAATTCAAAACAGATTAGGGGCTTATTATCACCTTTATCACCTTTACATTAACATGTAAGCAGAATTTTTATGTTAATGCTGGTAAAGGTGGACCTGATTATAACAACTTAATATAATGATCATGTTATGTTTTGCACTGTAAAAAAAATCTCCCTCTTACTAAGTAATTGTTTATTAATTATTAAGTCTAAGTCTTTTTTTTTTTGTTTGTTTGATTATTTCAACTGCTAGAAATTAACTTGTTTCAAGAACTTTTTAGAAATAAGTGTAAGTAACAAGTATGAAGAAAGGAATATGGATAGCTTCTCCAAAATCAGGGAAAATGTTCTATAAAATTCACAAAACTAGTTGACTTCTATAGAGACAGGCTGAAACCGTTTCATCACACTGGCTTTTCACTTGTTTTTAGAAAATGAGACTTGTAGAACTCATTAGAAGACACTTCACAGATGGCAGTGTGTGCCGTGTGCAAAATGCTAATCTACAAAGTAACTAAAGCTGCCACATAAATGTAGTGCAGTAGAATAAATTGTACATAAGTACAATAAATTGTACATAAGTACAGTACTTGGGTAAATAATAATAATAATAATAATAATCCTTATTTGTAGAGCACTTTTCAAAAACAAGTTACAAAGTGCTTTAACAAGTGTAAACAACAACAAAAAACAAGATAAGAGCATGAAAAATTAATATAAAATTAGTAAAATACAATAAAATAAAAGGGATAAAATAAAGTCAAATAAGATCGGGAAAGGCTCTCCTATAAAAGTATGTTTTAAGAAGGGACTTAAAAGAGTTCACTGACTCAGCCGAGGCTGTTCCAGAGCCTCGGGGCCCTGACTGCAAACGCTCTGTCCCCTTTAGTTTTCAGTCGAGACTCTGGAACAGACAACAAAATGTAAATGTACTTAGTTACTTTCTACCAATACAGCTGTGTGTGTCCAGTGAGAAAGTATCTGTCTTTTGTTAATATATGGCTTCAAAAAGCAGTCCGTGTGTGTGTGTAGGTAACAGTTCTTTGTTCACTTGTCAACCCTCAAAACCACACGGGGGAAAGCCAGGAGAGATATCTCCTCAAAGATCTCCTCCTTGATGTACAAAATGGCCCAAACCCACATAACCTCAATCATCTATCGAAAATGCCCAGGGAGTGCAAATAAGCCTCATCTGCACTGGCAGTTGACTGCATCTCTTATTGAAAACAGACGATGTCCCCTGCAATGTCAGAACTCCATAAAAATCTGTTTTTATTTTGTTCCCAAGAAACCAAAATCGGCACGGCCTATATGAAATCAATATTTTTTGGATAGCCAAATGTTTAAATGTTCTCCTGCTACATTCAAGAGACTTAGAGCCAAATTATTGTACAGGAATGATGCCAGAGTCTGTGGGTAGATAGAAGGAGCTGATCTCCCCCGAGCCAGAGAACTTGGGAATTAACAAAGAAAGGCGCTCCTGCCTCTCCCCTCCCACCCGCACAGTCCCTGAGTCTATATCACGGCTGTCACCCAGCATCAGTGAGCCTAATAGCTGAAGCTTTTTGTGGTTCCCATTCTGGACTGATCGAGCAAATCGAAGAATGAGTGTAGCCATCAAGGAAACTCTCATGTCGCAGTCCCATGAAGAATAAGGAGGGACGTGGGCCAGTCTTTCTCCACAGGAAGCCATGAGAATCAGATGAGTGAAGCTAATCAGGAGAGCGGAAGTCGTCCTGGAGAAAGGGTGCTGTAAAAATACAATCTCAGTGCAGTGGTTCTCAAACTCTTTCTGTCAGCCCCCCTTGCTATCATCAGAGCACTTGTTGTTTATGTCCCAACATGAATCACATTCATGCATTAAGTTATGGTCCGCTCAACATCCACGACCCCCCTGAAGTGGTTCTACGCTCCCCCAGGGGGGCCCAACCCCAATTTGAGAACCACTGCCCTAGTGAGTCAGGTCCCTGTCTTCCTCTGCCCTTTCAATGTCATGTTCTTTATGTTGGGTTGCTGTTGACTAATCCTTCAATTTAGACTTTATGTCCCCAAGGAGAAATTCCTTTTCACGACACTGTACCACCAGACAACAACAGCACACAGTAACAACATACTGTAACAATCCAGCATGATGACAGCATGTAGCCAATGACAACAGTACACACTCAGGCCAGTTCATCCTAGTTGGTTAATGCTAGAGCCTCAGAACCACCTGGATCTGCAAGCCTAATCCATATCTGATCTCTGTGAAATCCGAAGGCAGAGCAGAGTTGAGTTTATTGTGTTGCTTTCATAAAAGATGCCCACCTGCTAGGGTGAGTGCCGTGTCAAAATGAGCTCTGACCCAAATTCTTCTTATGACCCCTCAGCGCTGTAGTTCCTCAGGTTTCTGTGTGCTGCTGAGAGAGGGATAGGAAGGAGCTGATAGCGTGGTGTTGAGAACAGCTTGAAGGGCTAATTCAGCGTGGACTTGAGCATGTCGCTGTGTTGAGGCCTTGGCAACACCTAATCTCCTCTGCCACCCCTCACATGGCCTGCAGTAGATACAAGCACAAGGAACACAACCATGACATTTTCTTACTTTCTCCACTTTGGCCTCTCTTAGAGGCGCATACGCACAAGCTATACATCACAATCTGGGCTGAAACAAAAGACGTGCTTTGTCTTCCCTGGCTTGCAAAAACTTCAGGGAATTTTGAGTGAGATGCACCAGTTGCTGCATACTTCAAATTTGTCACTTCCTCCCACGTATTTCCACACTATCTGGACGTATAGACTTTACTACCAGCAATACAACCACTGCCAAGGGCTGATGACTGAGACACATGGGGCTGCAGAGCTGGAATACACACAGTGTTCATTTACCAAGTTACTTAAGCAAGAGACTGACAAAGTCATGCAAGGTGTCAGAAGAGATACAAACACCACGTCTGTTTTCAGATATGGCTGGCACTTCAAAATGACAGGTTTCCTGTTTACTAAGAGGCCTGTGCAGGTTTGAGCTCAGCTGCATTTCTGACAGTCTGGAAAGGAGCCAGAGAGGGATGATGACAGGCAGACAGCCTGTCGATGATATCAGCACCGTCCAATCTGCCTTTGCATACCACAAGATATTGGACATGCAAGTGTGACTGGAGTTTACAGTTTATCTGCCTGAGATAATGGGCTTAATAGAACAGGTTGAGACTAGCTCTGAAAAAGAGCAGCGGTTTAGGCATTCATCAAACTGGTTCTCAGAACAGGACGTTTACCATTGAAGGAAAGGTTGTTGAAAATTAACTTGCGACAAGCTTTCATTCACCAAAACTAAAGATCTCAGCTAACAGGATCAATAAACTGTCTCTTTTAAACCCAGAGAAGAACAATGGCTTTGTTCACTGTCTGCTGTTTTACAAAAAAAACACTTCTCTCAACAAGGGTTTGTTTAATCGTTGACCACCCTAGTTTCTTGTTTTACCATAGTGAAACAATTCAGGAAAAAACAGAAGAGTTAAAGGGACAGTGAGGGGACACACACGTACACGCAAACACACATAAAAATCACATCCTGTCAGCAGCCTAATCTACTTTATGACTGCTTTTTCACCTGGAGGCAAGCTCCAGGCATAAAAGCAAAAGTTTGGGACAACAGGCCTGACAAAAAAAACAATCCCACCCTTCCCCCCAGACTTCAGCAGCCTCCCTCTCTCTGACTCCCTAAACTCCACTTGTATTCCACCTCGCTATCCCAGGCTACATAACACATAATTACCAAATGCACCTAATCTTCTCATTTTAACTGAACCTCACTGCTTCTCTGTTGAATGTCATGTGTCCTCTGCCAAGTTTAAAAGCAACAACAGGAGCGCACTGTACTATATGATTAACTGTCTGTTGTTCCGTCTCCTGCTATCTGTCATCGATTTGTCCCCCCCGCCCCTCCCAACACCAGTGAAACTACTGACAAGTGGTGGGTGAGAGCTAAACCTGCTTCCTTTAAGCTGTAGTGAGACAGAAAATAACAAACACTGACAGCAAGTGATCAAGCAACTGGAATAACAACAAGAGGGCAAACACAAACTTCTTGAAAGAGATTTTGGTTTCTTTGTTTCTCATTGAGTCCTAGTCATATAATATTTAGTCATTTTATCCAGAATGCGAGTAGGGCAGCACCTACATATTATTTTAATGATAGATTAATCTGTTAATTACATTTTGTCTGTTAATTGTTTTGTCTTTAAAATAGTGAAAATGCTCTTCACAATTCAAGGTGATATTGTCAAAGGGCTTGTTTTGTCTAGCCGACAGTTTAAAACCCAAATTATTCTTTCCATAATGTTCTGAAAGCTGCAAATCTTCACCTTTGTTAAATTTAAACAACTTTTTCAAACTATTGAGATTATGAAAATGGTGGTTGATTATTTTTCTGGTGATTGTCTAACTGTGGGTGCTCTAGCTTTGTGTATGCTATAAGCTTATAAAAACATGTCAGTATACATACTAAATATTAGAATACAGGAAGTGCTACATTCAACGATCAAAACGATCAAAATTGATACAGTAGAATCAGCGATATCATCTTTTTTTAATCACATGCATTCTTGTTCCTGGTCAAAACCTGGCGCCTACCCACGATGCAACTCGACCGCTGACAGTTTGGTTTGAGATTCGGGTGCGTTACAGCCTGGAAACAAGATTAATCTGCTAGCTCATGTTTTCCTTTTTCTACCAGATGTGTCTGGGCACCCTGCCATTCAGACAGATTTCAGTTTTTCTATCGCATAGCACCATGTCAAGCTCGTCCTCATACCTAAACGACAGGATAGGTCGATTACCAATGCCTCCTATAACCTGTGACTGTTGGAAAGCACCAGGGACAAGTGTATTGGATTTTAAGTACATTACGTAAGTCACATTACATACATCACATGATGCTAAACACGTGGTTAACATTGTGAAACGGTTGCAGTTTGGTTGGGTTTAGCCAACAAAACTAATTGGTTAGGTTTAGGTAAATTTTGTGGTTTGGATGTGACATCAGCCATCTACGTAACGTTATTTAATTATAAACTTTAAATATCTCAATGTTGACTTTGTTTCACACGGGACAAGTCTTTTGTTTGTTTGACCCGTCCATCCATCTCTAACTGCGGACTTGCTTGCTCTTTATTCTACAATACATCACCTGACTTGCTTCTTTGCTCTATGTCACACATTTCGTTGCTCTGATTGGTTGTAGGTCTATCCTATTGTGTCCAGTGGCATCTTATTCTGTGCCATAACAAGCAGTTTATCAGATTTCGTGCAGCTTCCTGTGGAGCCACAAAGGGATTTATACAACTTTTTGCACATATGCAATAGAGACCTGTAAACAGACTTTAATGTATAAAATCCTCTTTAATCTTAGACTACAACAAAGAATTGGGGATACAAAGTGTGCATTTCACAGACACCATTTAGAAACACTTACAGGTGTAGCTCTGGTGTAACAGTGCAGGTGTCTTTGTGATGGTTCCTCAGACACCATGTTCGGACATGCCTCACGGTTCTGTTACCTCATCAAGCGGTGTATAACTCCCAGACAGCCTGCAATACAGCAAGGACTACACAAAAACAAGAGCACACACACCAGCCAAACCTTTAATCCTCTAACTAGGTTACGCAAACGATACTAAAAAGTTGCTCAATGTACAAGTCTGGAAGATGGCTGAGAGTTTGAGCAATTCAACTGGAGGGGGAGAGTAATATCAAAAAAACTATCTGCATATGTTGTGGGGCCCTTTTGCGGCATGCATCCCAGGCTTAGACATGTACCCTACACATCGGATTAGTAATAAAGACATGCTCATCACCAACCAGCCGCAACCAATTCCAAGTCCAAAGAAACCAGAGAGGAAAAGTAGCAGTTACAAACTGCTCTGGTTTTCCTCGTCTGACAGGTTTCTTTCCCATGCCAAACACCATCTACACAGAAAACATCTTGTTTCATATGAAAAGCCCGGGATCCATGACTTGAGTGATGAGTAGTTTATGTTTACAGATGCACCCAGTGGTAACGGACCCCTCTGCTCTGCAAGTCCTGGCAGTTCTTGTTGCACTCGGAAGCAGAGCTGCATTATAAACTCTAAAGCTCAGGAGTGTTATGTTCAAATTTTGGTCGGGACTTGTGTGTCGTAACCTATGGATCAATTGTCAAAGTAACTTAATTATATAAAATCAATAGTGATTATTATTTGTGTGTTTTGAATAAGCTCTTTGGCCTGAGAGCCATCTGGAATGCATTGTGTGGTTTTCCAGATTTCCACTTGTAAATGAACTATACTGTATATTTAAATCTTGGAGCCAAGGTGAAATAATTTACAATTTTAGGCATTGAACCACCATTATTTTACATGTTTACTTGACCAATACTTATGACATTCATTAATTTATTCTTTTGATGTGGCCAACATTTGCAGCAGGGCCATGACCCAAGCACCAAACCATGAATTTTTTTTTATTTCAGTTGGTTCTTCTCTTCAGTCAAGAAACCAACGGAAAATAAAAAAAAACAGTCAACATACTCCATGATGGTGAGTAAACCTTCTACAGCATGTATTATCAGTGGCTTGTCTTGAATCATTTGAGTATTTTTACAAACAACTGAATCAACAACTTTACAAATATGTGGTTGTTATTAAAGTAAGTATTTCTAACACATAAACATAAATACTCGCCACTTAAATTTCAACACTCTGTAAACTTGCTGAAAGCGATTACACAATGCAATAAAAATGTGCAATAATACAGCTGGGTTACAGTTGAACTTTATATTACTTCAGTCTGGTGGCTGTTCTAGTCACATCCTCCTTATTTTAAAAAGCAGCCAGCAGTGATAATGATAGCAGCTAAATTCAGTCCATGCACTGATATTAAAGTGGTCTTAGCAAGCTGTATTCATTAACTGTCTTCTGAAGGCATTTAACAGATGCTGTCACTCATTTTGCTTCCTTTTTCTTCCTTTCCGTTTTGTGTTGCCTGACATAACTAACAGCAGGAAGGACTTGATTGGTTGAAAAGGCTCTTGCAGACCAGTGATGATTAAGGAATAATGTTAATTACTTTATATGTAAAACTGCTATTTTTAGTTTCGCCTAAATATAAAAAGGTGAGCATGCAGGGTTTTTTGTTATTCTTTACAAAAACATTTTTTGATTTTTATGCTTACTTCAAGTGCTGTCGGAACTTTCCCCGCTGTTTGTCAGATGAACCATCTCAACACATCTCAGTGAATAAATAAATAAATAATAGGAAGATGTGCATTTTCTGTCATTATTAAATTACACAGTGTATTTTTTCCACTCATATTTTGTCACAAAATAATGATACACTCGGCATAAAAGAACAACTTTGTTCTCCTGTGATGATGAGATCACAAACTAGTTATTTTTCTGGAATCACAAGAGAAACACAAGACAGAAGAAAAAAATGTATCTCAAGTAAATCTAAAAAAAATAACACTCACTTGACATATATACTTGACTGTTATAACTGTCATGATTACAAATAAAAAAACAAATCAAACAACAAGAATAAATCTGTACTTGTCTGCTCTGTTGATACTTTACTGTAATCTGCAGTGTTGAAAATTAATTAAGCCCATTTTCTCAAGTATTGTACTTAGGTATAATTTTGAGGTATTTCCATTAATCAATTAAACTCCAATGCTTTCTACTTCCACTTCACTCCAGTTCAGAAGGAAATATTGTAGGCTACATCATGTGTTTAATATCATGCAACTGTAAAGTTTGTCACATATGCTATATATGTTTTTTTAACAAATTCATAAAAATAATGCATCTCATTTTCCTACCATTGCATACCAGAGTAGTTTATAGCTATGGATAAAAAACAATTACCAAATTTCCAAACGCCAAAAGCACTCCAATGCTACACAACAATCGTTTTATACAGTGAAGCTCAGATATCAGAGCCTCTGCTGAGCACTTGAACGCAGCAAATGTCACGAACCGTGGAAGGGGTGTAACGTGGAGAGCAATCAGAGCCGCAGAAACGGAGTCGGAGCTGAACTCAGCACACATTTTACGGAGGGCTGTCGGCACCGGACTCGCTACGGACGAGTTTGAATAAGCGCCTTTATTAATCTGAACCACCCGAGACTCAAAGAGGACACACCGGGGAGCAGCACGGAGCGGACTGGGGGCACATGGAAACGCTATGCAGCTGGAAATACGGCGGCGGATTTGATCATAGTTTCACCCGAGAAGAAGCGAAGTGAGCTGCGAGACAAACATGCTCGCCCCGATGCTGGCCTCCCTGCTGCCTCTTCTCCTTCTCTGTCGGCTTTCTTTCTGCCAATACTCAAGCGACCAGTGCAGCTGGAAGGGCAGGTGAGGTTCGCTGTCCTGTTTCATTAAATGTCAGATTGATAAGAGTGATTTGCAACGACGTGTGAAAGTTTCTGTCCTCCAGCCTGCCTGTAATGACTGTGACCGAAACTCAACAGAGAGCGCGGTGATGTGAAAGCAGGCAGCGGAGTGAAAAACGAAAAAGAGCCATAAATGAGAACAAAAATACAAATATAGCGCAAATGTCTGGCCTAATTTCATAAAGTATATTACTGTTGCGATATGAAAGGACGTGAAAAGACACGAGAGTTTTGGGCTGAATTTATGAATGACTAATTGCACTATTACCGAAAACAAGTGGTATTTCAATACATTTTAATATAGCTGTGCTTATTCTTGTTTAGAATAATATATACTGTGGATTATAAAAGTGGCACAGAATTATAGGCTACATTGAATTATATGTTAAAATGATCAAATGTTGCCATTTATATCTTAGTCATTCTGAAATGTTACCTAGCTCATACTTTTTGTTTTTTCTCTAAGGGTTAATATCCCCCATAACAAAATACAGAAATATTCCTAGCATTGTGCAGATGTCTCAAGAGTAAGGACCAGAGTAGTTTGGTTTATGTTTTAAAAATATGTCTTACAGATTTTTAAAACCTCAGGCAGCATTTAACTCAAAAGTTGCATCTCCCATCCAACATGTGCTGAAATCTGTTTTGCACTTGAGATACTGTGTCTCAAATGGTGTGGTTTTGTTTTTCATCCTCCAGTCAGGAGGAGTACACCATATTTAGTACTTTGAGCTCTCAACCAATAATCTGTTGTTCATTAGGGAAACTCTTGACTAATCTCCTTTAATTGCGTGCAGAAGTGATGAAGTTAGAAAGGACTTAATTAGAGGCGTGCTGAGGAGAGCCTGGTTATGGGGCTTCAGCTGCATGTGCTCAGCATGTGCGATGGGTTACTTTAGATCTATGGCAAATTTGAATTTCAGCATCTCATTTTCAGGAAACTGGGCGTTTCTCCCCCCGAGTCAAACCGCTAGCTTGGCATGCCCATGCTGGTGGACTGCTGATGGCTTCCTGCCTCTGGCTTTGCCACAGAATAACTGACAGCCTGGAGTTTTCAAAACCCTGACCAGGCATTAAGTTCTGGAGGGAGTCATTTGGTCATGCTGGCGCCAGAGTCCGAAGTGCTGCCCGGACAAGTCTCTTCCAGTCTCTTTGGTGGCTTGAAAGCAAGGGGAGGTTCGGTGCGTGACCTGCATTTGCACTTGCATGCAGCAGGCCCAGCTACTGTTGCTGCCGTTGTCTGCCCAGAAGCCCCTGTGTCCCTCCATTCATCCATTTCTGCTTCCAAACTCTTCCCAAAGGCAGCCTGCCAGTGGCGCATTTTGCCAAAGCTCTGGGAGGAACAATGTGGTATGGGGGGAGTGTGTGTTGGAGCTGAGGTCATTTTGACTGCTCCGGCTCGTGACTGGTCATGCAGCCAGTCTTGCGCGCACACACGGCCCTTAATGCTTCAGGAGGAATGCGGTCTAATGTCCTTTCAGTCTGCCACAGGGCTTCACCTTGGTCAGTTAACCTGGGCTATAAATTAGCAGAAAATCATCTTTAGATCACTGAATAATCCCTTTATGCTTTATTAAAGACAAAAGGTTCAGAATGAGTTTTAATCTCCACTAAAAAAGCATTCTTGGGTTTTGTCCACTTTTTCAGAGATTCTTGACAAGGCCTGTGTTTAATGGCTGATGTCTGCTGACGTCTTTCCTTTTTCTTTCCTTCCAGCGGCCTGACTCATGAAGGCCACGCTAGGGACGTGGAGCAGGTGTACTTACGTTGCTCCCAAGGCTCTCTGGAGTGGCTCTATCCCACGGGGGCCATAATTGTCAACCTCCGACCCAACACGGTCTCCCCCGCAGCCGCCCGCCTCTCTGTCTGTATCAGACCGTCCGCGGACTCCAGTGGCACCAACTTCTACCTGGACCGTAATGGCAAGCTGCGGTTACTGTTGCGTGAACAGGACCAAGCTCAGAGGAAGGTGCAGTGCTTCAGTATCCAGGAGGGGGCGCTCTTCATTGAGGCCATCCCGCATATGGACATCAGCCGCCGGCTCACAGCGTTCCAGTATGAGCTGGTCAGCAACAGGCTGGGACCACTGGGTGGTAAGATACATCTGTTATGATGCTTTCACTTCACAATATTAGTGGGAATGTAGATAATTGTCTAAGTCGCCATAATAAAGGTCTGCAGACTTTCTTTTGATTAAGAGTGGTTTCCTTTGTGCTTTGTCCCTGTGGTGTGTGCTGTGCACTAAATGCAGCCATCTACTGGTGGAAACTTTTATTAAGTTGGACTCTAATAGTAGGAAAGTCTGCATTTGCTCCAGCACACTGTAAATACTGAAGCCAAAGTCCATTTCTCTGGTTGCATTGTCTGTACATTTTGGTTCTGGGAGAATATATTTCTTGTCAAAATCCAACGCTCACTGAGTATCAAAACATCAAAATCTGAAGCCTTTAAGTCTTTATGGAACTTGTGTTTTTAGGATCAAATGTTCATATTTCACAACTGTCCACACTTGGTTCTAAGCTGTAATTGTTTTATGTGTGTGGAGGGGGCACAGCCAAACAGAGGGCCTCCATTGGTAAAAACAGCCGTCTATTTTCATGCTGTGTACCTGCCAAACCTGCACAGCCTCAAGCTGCGCAACTGTGTTTTTTTCCTTTACCTAAAACAAAATATGAGCAGTATTGGGCCCACATCTGTTTTAACGGCTCTCTCCGGGTTCACATATCCACATCCTGTGTCATTATTTGGCAGCAGAGAGGGGGTGAGAGGGAGAGGGTTAAATGTAGAGGCGTGCAGTTGTTTTGACCACATTAGTGTTCTCTGCTCAGCTCTGCAGTATAATCTGGTTCTGTGATGTGGCCTGAGATAGCACTGGGATGATTCACAAAGACAGTGGTCTCGTGTCATCTGAAGCCCCAACCGGTGGATTGATTGCTCCTTTTGCTTGTTCTCATCTTTTTTTTTTCTTTTTTTTTTTCTTCCCAGTTTCTTCCCTTTTTTTCCTCTCCCTTCCTCTTCTCTCTCACCCGCTGTGCTGGGATTGAGTTGCTCACCGTCAAGCTGGAATGCATCTCCAACCAGATGTTGGGAGGAACTTCTAGCAGCATATAGGCTTATTTCCCCCCCACTCTTTCTTTTCTTGCCGTCACTCCCTCAGCCTGCCTTTCAGCTCACTTAAATTATTCTCCTTTTCTCCCACTCTGTCTCACTATTTCCTACCTCTTCTTTCTTGTCTATTTATCATGCTAGTATTTTCCTTTTCATTCCTCTCCCCTTCATATATCTTCAGTCTCTCTCCCTGGCTGTTTGAAGTGGTTTTGTCTGTGCACAGTGGTATTAGCAAGTTGTGCTCCATTACAGTGGAATGCATCAGGGCCCAGATGTTGCAGGGACACTATATCATGCCCCCACCCTCTCTTTACCACTCGTCCCATCCCTCATCCCTCTCTGCTTCTGTGAAGTGGTTCTGATCAGAGTGGCGCTGCATGTGCATGGGCCAGCGAGAGATGCTGACTCGGCTCTCGGCCCATTCCTGTGGCTCTGTTTCGTGTCTGACATGTGAGCCCTGCTCGGCTCTGCTGTGGAGGAAAGAAAAAAAACACCCCAGGGTTTATCCCTCGGCTTGTTGCTCTGTCTGATTCTACGGCAGCATGCAGGCTCACTTCAAAGGGCCTTTGCACTCGGGCTTTGGGCGAGGTCGGTCACTCTGAAGTCTACCGACTCTCCGGCTGTTCTTAAGCCGTCCGAACTTGTGGCTGTTTGACCCCTGATCTCTCTAGTGATGCGGCATCGCCTCGTGTTGCTACACAAGCTGACCTAAGACATTCTCACCCCTCACCCTTATACCGTCAATGTCAGACAAGCCAGTTAAAAATAAGCTCCAGCCCTGCACCTAAAGACAGAGGGCACACATCTCTGGTTTTGGACTTAATTCAGGATAATGGGCTCCATACTTTTCCTTATGCATCATTTCAAAACTAGATAATTTTTTATGCTCAGATTTATGACTATGTAAACTAAGGTGGTTTCCAGTCCACCAAATCCACCTGAGTTAACAGTTTTAATCATTCTTCCTCTGCATTTATGGATGGATACTGCCCTACCCTCAGCCCACTGCTGACTTGACACCCCTCCCTCTGCCCCCCTACTCCTCCTCTCCCCACCTGCCCATGTGCCACTTTGCCGCAAAGGAAAACCACAGCAGTAAAGAGCTAATGAAGGCGTTCTGGTCAGGCCAGCCGCAGGACCACCTGAGTCAACTGATCATTGACTTGACTGCTCCCATTTAGGGCCCTTTCTCCTGCTATAAAACACTGTTGAGGTCAGCAGGCTGAGTTGCAGCTTGCCACCAGACGAAAGTGAAATGTAGCCTGGGGTAGGCTTTTAAAGTCCTGGGTAGAGGCTATTTATCACTTTTCACTGTTTCTTACACCCAATTATTTGCCCTCTAGTTGTCTCCCTTTTATTGTGCTAGACATGATATGGTAATGTAGGAGGCTTTTGTGTAACCAGCTGATTTTCTCCTCCTTATCTGCCTCCTTTTTTTTTGATTTTTGACTTTTAAAGCTGTTAAAAAAAATCTCTACTTGATGTTACAGTTGAGACTGTTCACTGTTTCAGTCCCAGCAGGCCTGCTTAAGTGCTAACAGAGCTCCGGTCAGAGATGTAGCCTTTTCTTGTCTCTGTGCTCTCCTTATCCTTTTCATCTGGCCCTTGTTTGTCATGGATTGTTATGGTGTTCCTCTTGTGGCAGGGAAGTTGACTGAACAGCCCTTATGAGCATTAAACACACACAAGCATTTTTTAAATAAGCAGTGATTTCACTGTTGTTTTTTCATCAGCAGCATTCGCTGCTCTGTTTGGTGTTAAAACACAGAGCTCATGTGCGTGCGCGCATGCACGTGTGTCTCATCAACAAGATTTTTATCATTCTGCTAGAGCGGGAGTGTGAAAGAAATCGGAAACTTTTTCTGTTTGTGGTGCTTTTCCAAAATTATGGCTCTAAACTCATCTGCCCTCTCCCTTTATTTTCACTTAGCACCCTGTCAGCCCTGCAGCGATGCAGAGATGCTTCTAGCAGTCTGCACCAATGACTTTGGTAAGTTAAAAACACTGTTTGGGAGAATTATAGGCTTCCTGCTGCTGTATGGTGTGCAGAAATGTCCAATGAAAACATCCTGTGAAGTATGAAATGGAGCCATCACCAGTGTCTAAATCTTGTCTTCCTGCTTGGTGTTTTCAGTGGCACGGGGCAGCATTAAGAAGGTGGAGCAGGAGGAGGAGCACTCGTCTGTCACTGTGGAGATCAGCCGCCTCTACAGACAGAAGACCCAGGTCTTTGTATCTGGAGGTGTGAGGGTACGCCACTGGACTGGCCACATCAAGATGCCCCTTAAGTGTGGGGTGAGGTCTGGTGAGGGTGAGTTCCTCTTTACAGGGACGGTGAGGTTTGGGGAGGCCTGGATGGGATGTGCTCCACGTTACAAAGACTTCCTGCGGTTGTATCATGAGGCGCAGCAGCAGGGGACCAACCCCTGTCACGTGGACACTGACTGAGTGTGTTTCCTGCCCGCACTTGGAAGTAAGACAAGTCCTCACTGGTTGGGGAGGAGAGGTGAACCAAGTGTTCAAGCTAAGGGTGAGAAAGAAACTGACGGACTGTCCCTGTAGCAGAGCCTCCCTCCTCTCCTGCTGTCTTGTGACTCTCTGGAGATGAATCATTGAGCTCCTGAATGTAGCCAAGCAGCATGCTGGATGGACTCAAAGTTGAGCGTGATGCATCGTGGAATGTGTTCAGACTGCCTTTCTTGCAGACAAGGAACTCGCAGGTTTTAAATGTAGCAAACCCCATTTGGTTTTTGATGTGTATAAAATGTGAATGACTATTGTATATTTTGAAGCTCTGCTTTGTAAAAAGCTTGATGTACAGTTCTGAAGTTATTTCTTATGACAGAAATGTAAAAAGTGAAAGCCTCTTATTTTTATTTTATATAAAAAAATGATTTGCAATTTAATGCCTGAATTCATGTTTTTGTTTTTCTGGCCTGACAGTTAGAAAATAAAATAAAAAATAAACGAAAATGAACCAAAAAAAGCTACATTTGTTTTGTGCCCTTGAGAATAAAAGCTTTTATTCCCTGGAACAGCGTTGATATTTATGGTGTTTACGTGTAAAATAATTGACAAAATCTCCGGTGGGCAAATTTTGACTTTAGTAGATGAATGTTTTCAGACTTGTGACACAGTTTTACGAGGGATTATATATATAGCTAATTAATTGATCAATAAATGTATCAGCTATTTTGTTCATTTAAGCCTTTTTTTCAATCAAAAAGGCCAAACATGACTTAGTATTTGTTACTCTTGTCTGTTTTATATCATTGTGAACTAAATATTTTTGGGTTTTAGACTGTTGACAGACATTTGAAGACCTCTCCTTGGGCTGTGAGAAATTGTGATGGGTATGACATTTTAGTTCAAACAGTCAGTCAATTTAGAAAATAATCACTAGTTGCAGCCCTAATTATATTAAAGCTAATACTATAAACACAAACGTAGCATTTTAATTTGGGCATAGATGGACTTTTCTGATCAGATATAATACTTCACAGTGGAGCTAAGGGGTTCTCCCCCCCCATTTTCTCTGTTGGAATAAAAACACACTCGTATGATGTGCATTAGTCTCCTCTTTAAGGTTCACCTCAGCCTTGAGCTGGGACGGTCTGCCAGGGGTACAGAGAGATTGATATCTGAGAGTTGCGGTGGATTCCTCTGCGTTGGTTCCTGTGGTGATGGGGGTGGCCGTGTGTCAAGGTCAATGTGAAAGGCCTCTTTGTTCAAGCGCAGCAGCCCGGTATGAGAGAGAGGACTAAAGACAGACCTGAATACTGCCCTGTGACTGGGCACGTAGCAGAAAGCAGCACTCTCCAACCACACTCCAAACATTGATATTGATTGGCATGTACAGTTTCCTTGTCTAAATGACATTTTCATTTTCTTCACCTCAAATAAAACACAAGGAACGAATCAGGTTATTGGGCATCCTAACTGCGCTCTCAGATGATGCAGCCCGTCAGCTAGGCCTTTTAAGGTGACATCCGGTTCATGGCCAAGGCTGTTTTTGTCTGCCTTTTCACTTAAACGGAAATGCACCTAGAATGCCTTAGAATAAATTGCCCCACATAGACAATTGCTTTTCCTGACATCACTGTGCATTGAATTGTATTTCTGAATTCCAGCTGAAAGCCAGCGGTCCCGGAATTGCTCACTGGGAAATGCAAACAGAGTTTCCATGGAAACGATGCCTAACTGTGAACCTTCTCGCTCTGGCTTTAAGACCAGGAGGCTTGGAGGAGGAGGAAGAGGAGGGTCAGCGGGCATTACTGAGGTTTTTCGCTGGTCCAGCTGTCCTAGTTGTCAGACCTCCCTCTCTCCTTCCTCTCGGCTGCTGGCAACAGATGTATAAAGTCTTCATATGGGTAAATGAGCTGCTTACAATGTAGTAAATTCAAATTCTTTGGGTTTTTGGACTCTTGGTTGCAAAAAACATGACATTTGATGATGTCTCCTTGAGCTCTAGAAAACTGATGCACATTTTCACGTTTTACTAATCTTATATAGAGCAAACGATTACCCAAGTAAAAGAAAATAATTGGAAGATGAATCGATTATGAAGATAGTCCAGCATGTTCCCATCAGTGCTACTTTATCAGTGAATACTTAAAGGGTGAAGCATGATCACTATGAGCAGACTTCTGCAAGACTGATTATGATATAAACCTGTGCGTGTTAATAAGACACGCCACATGATAAATCTCCATTGGAACGATAACATTATCTTATCAATTACACTGTTGTTTTTGATAATTTGAAAGGCGTCACAATTATAGAGGTAATTTGTATACTGGCTGTTGTCACTAATGCTGCACTTTGTTTTATATGCAGGCCATGGGCGCAAAATATCAAAATAAAATATAATTTTAGAAAATGTTTATACATTACGTTTCATCAGATACTCTTCAAAATTATTTGCTCTTTGTGTCACTGGGTGTAGCTCAAGCTATTAGTTATACAGCTGTGCACATGCAATCGGTTGCAGCTTATGGGTGAGGTCAGATTTAGTTACCAGTTGAAAAGGACCGGTCTAAACCAGACATGAATATGTGGACTTGTCAGTGTGATTCAGCCGGAAGGCATTGCACGGTCATCTCGTGGGTGGAATTAAAAAGGAGAAAGTAAAAAAAAAAAACTTGCTGAAAATGAGTGCACAGTGACTTGCCAGACAGAAAGGGCAGTGGAGTTAAAGAGCAGGAGGACCCCAGCAGAGAGAAGAGGCCCACAAGTTCAGTGTAGTGGCTAATATTTTATGCCTCTTTGGGAAGTGCTGGAATGTGGGGAATGTGTTGACTTCACACACACGCGTGCACAACTTCCCCCAGCGCTGCTGCCTTGATTAGCTGGAATCAATAGAGTCTCTGTGGTTTTGGTGTGTGTATGTGTTTCAGTGTGTATGCCCACACAGTGCGCGTGGCCCTAACCCCAGCACACATAAACACACCACCCCAGCAGCAAGATAGCCACAACCCACAATGAGCCATGGCTCACGCTGCAGCTGCAGTCCTAACACCTCCAATGTGACACAACACTGCCCTAGCACAACTCACATGTTTCAGACAGTTAATGAAATCAGATTAAAATCTGACTGTTACATCTCAAAAATCATGTCAAATCATTTACCCACTTCAATTTTGGATTGCAGCGCTCCCTCTACAGTATATTCCAGCATTGTTTTTGTTGGTCAAATCAACATCGTACTATAATTTCTGGTTGAACTGGTTAAATGAGTCCAGTTACACACATGGGGAGAGAAATAGATACTTTATCAACCAAAAAACCTCAAGGCTAAGAGTCTTTAGCCATGTTAGGTGCTCTGAGAAACTGCACATGCTTTAAGCTAAATGCAAACATTAGCATGCTAACATGCTCACAACTATTTTAATAAGATTTTGATTGAACATTGAGTTATTGTTACAATTTCATGTACATGATTCCCAAATTTGAGCCAGATAGAGACGAACACATCAGAAAGCCAAGGTCAACAAGCCAATAAGGCATATCCCAGAATGCTTATTAATCCCCAGTGGGTAATAAGTCTCCCAGTCATGAAATGCCTTGCAGCTGCCTCCTCTCCAACTGAAGCGTTATAGCAGGATTAAGGACTCGTGTGTTGGGTGTCTCTAGCAAAAAAGTGAATGCGGGGTCACAGCATGGGCCTGCATGTCTAAATATCAGGTATCAAAGGGGATCTGGGAATTGTGTGCGCCAACTGAGTTAATGGCTAGTGTGAGTAAAGTAGACCAGGCCCTGTCTTCATCAGATGGTTTGGAGATCAGGGTTGCTCAGTTTTGGCTGATGGTAGCCTGTCAAGATAACATTCCACTATGTCTAGATTAAAGTTGGCAGAAACATTTGGGATCGCATCCAATCAAAAAACATACAGTAGCACTAGCCAGAGTCTGTTGATGAAAACTACTTAAGGAGAGTCCATGCACATGATGGAAAATCTCCACACTGCTAAGCTTTATCATGTAAATTCCTCTTTCTGGGCTGATGTCTGTATTATGACTAATTGTTTCTGTTTGTGAATGGTGATTTGCTACTGCAGTCTGCGCCAACAAGACTGTCTCCTTCTTCCTTTTGTCCTACATCATCCTCTTTTCTAAATGAGTGAATGTGTGCGACTGCTGTCAGCTCACATGGCTCCCAGAGGCCGCATCAGGGTGCCCCGTTCTCTCAGCAAACACGCCGATGTCCTCCAGACTGGGGGGTCCTGCTGCAAGCGGTTACTGGGAGCCCCCCGCCCCAGTGCTCAGCAGCCCAATAACGGAGCAGAATTTGGCTCCAAGGACGTCAAGCAAACACACTGCAAATGGCACTTTTATTTACTTGCCTTCATGCAACCCCTTCCCCCAACATCCTTCATTTACTGGGATCCGCGGTGCCATTTCCAGGAGCCCCATAGCAACAGTAGTCCATGTCAGTGGGGGAGGGAGGGGGGACAACTTTCTCATGATGTCACCATGCCATGGTGATTGGCAGTCTGTTGCGAAAAAGATGAAACTTGTTCTTAGATGTCAGGATCCCACTGGAACTGGATTTTGGTAGTGAAGCTTGACCTTGAATTGTGATAGTCATGGTTCTCTTTGGAAGGGTCAAGTTTTGTGTATTATAATCTCACAATTGTGTTTGCAAGTTCACTTTTTGTTTCTAGGTTCACCATAGCAAAGGTGCCAGTATACTCCATCAGAACTGCTTGTTGGGTGGAAGAATAACTTTGGAACCCCCGTGTGTGTCGGAACAACTATGGACACTTTTACCTTCTGATGTGGTCGGACAACATGTCACACAAACAATTTTTTTTTTAGTATAACTCAACCTTAAACAATACATTTTGGATAGACCATTACTTTTCACTGATCACAATAACAAAAGCTTGTGCTGTCACTATTGCGCTCTTGGCTTTGAATGAACGTGTTGTTGCCTGCTCTACACATCCTGTCACTCATCGAGCCTTGCTATATGTCTGATTGTGAAAATGCAATCTACCCAGGCTCCTCTGCTCTCAGGCCTGTCAGAATCAGCAGATCTGCTGTTTGCACAGTCCAATGAGCACCAGCGGCTTCGCCTTGCTGGTAGACTCCTCCTTGGCAACCAGGCCAACCCCCTCTGACCTCTGACCAGAGTTGTGGCCTTTGCATAAGAAAAGGAAAAAATGGTTCCTGTCTAAATTCATCCATTAGAATCTGGAGGAGATGCATCTTTGGGCATTGAGGTGACAAAGATAATCAGCCAGTGGCAGGACAAGTGCAGAGCAAAGCGTGATGGATTGTGTAATTGAACATGTGGCGTTTGATGGATGTCTTAATGAGGAGCATAATAGGCTGTGTGATGGATAGGTAGGAAGCAAACACTTAGATTTTCACACAGGAGCGGATGTGAGCTGTTTGCTTTTGGGATAGACAATGATGGATCGATTTGTGAGGGAGGAGGACTCGGCAAAAGAGGGAACAAATGCATGATACTGCTTTTTAGATTTTTGACCATTTCTGTTTTTAGTGTCAGCTGGATGGTTCTATGCAAAAAA